GAATTATCTCCAATGGGCCAAATCAGTAATGATGTTTATCTCAGGCAAAGGGAAGGACGATTACCTCATGGGATTGGCTACTGCACCAAAGCCGAATGACCCTAAGTACAAGATCTGGAAAGCAGAAAATAATATGGTCATGTCTTGGCTAGTCAACACCATGGACGCAGACATAGGGCAAAATTTCTTGTTCTACGACACTGCACATGAAATTTGGATGGTGGCTCAAGAGACTTATTCCGATAACGAAAACACTGATGAATTATTCGAGATCAAGGGGGCACTTCATGATCTACGGCAGGGTGAATCAAATGTCACTCAATACTATAATTGTCTCACTCGTTATTGGAGACAACTGGACATGTTTGATAGTCTGGCTTGGGAATGTCCTGGAGATGCAACCCTCTACAAGAAGATTATAGAGAAAGAGAGAGTCTTCAAGTTTCTTCTAGGGCTTGACAAATCCCTCGATGAAGTAAGGGGCAGGATTCTTGAAACCACGCCACTCCCATCCATTCAGGAAGCATTCTCGGAAGTCAGACGAGAGGAAAGTAGGAAGAAACTTATGCTAGGAAGGTTACTACCCACAGATAACGAAGCTTCAGCCCTCACAGCAAGAGGAGTCAATGCAGCCCACGACACAAAACAGAAGAAAACTCGGCCTTAGTGTGATCACTGCAAGAAAACAGGTCACTCGAGACACTTGCTGGAAAATCCATGGAAAGCCCCCCGATTGGAAGCCAAGTCGAGAAAGAGAAGCCCGGAGTTTTGTTGCAGCCCCTGAAGACAAGGAAAAACCCACAAGCATGGAACCAAGTCTCTTTAGCAAGGAGCAAATCGAATGGCTGCAGCAAATGTTCAACCAAAATTCCAATCTTGGCCCAACTGTCTCCACGGGATCTACTGACCAGAAAGGTATTTTTTCAGCCGCTAATCATGTCAAAACAGAGGACTCCGCAGACTGGATTGTTGATTCAGGAGCCTCAGACCACATGACTGGTGATGCTTCATTATTTCAAGAATGTTATCCTTGCCTTGGAGAGTATAAAGTCCGGATTGCTGATGGATCACTTTCTCCAGTATCAGGAATTAGAAAAGTGGTCATCTCTAATACATAAACTCTTCAGTCCGTTCTTTTGGTTCCCAAATTAACGTGCAATTTGCTATCTGTCAACAAACTTACCAAAGATTCTAAATGTGTTGCTAAGTTTTCACCCACTTCTTGTTTATTTCAGGTTTTGGATTCAGGGAAGATGATTGGCAACACTAAGGAAAATCAGGGACTCTACTGGATTAGGGAAAAAGCTTATCCTCACTCTCGGGCCTATCACTCCATGACCTCCTCAGTTCAAAATTCGGATACTTCTATGTTTTTTGATTCAAATAAAAACAGTAACATTAGGTTACTGCATTTTCGTTTAGGACACCCAAATTTCATGTACTTGGCAAAAATGTTCCCTTCATTATTTATCAATAAAAATCTGAAATTATTCCAATGTGAAGTGTGTCAGTTTTCAAAGCATTGTCGTAGTACATATCCTATTCAAGGGTACAAACCTTCTCATCCTTTCTCAGTCATACACAGTGATATTTGGGGACCATCTCGGATTCTAAATATAACTGGTGCAAGATGGTTTGTATCCTTTATTGATGATCACACTCGAGCCACCTGGGTATTCCTTATGAAAGAAAAATCAGAGGCTGGACCCCTATTTAGGACCTTCCACTCTATGATAAAAAAATCAATTTCAAGCCACTATTCAAGTCTTTCGAACCGACAATGCTCGAGAATACTTCAATTCAATTCTAGGACCCTACCTTCTCGAGAATGGCATTATCCATCAAAGCTCATGTACATATACCCCTCAACAAAATGGAATCGCAGAAAGGAAGAACAGACATCTCCTTGAGGTAGCCCGTTCTATCCTATTTTCCAGTAATGTACCAAAACGTTTTTGGGGGGAAGCAGTTTTAACTGCTACTTATCTAATTAATAGGATGCCATCTCGAATCTTAAAGTTTAGTACACCATGCCAAGTACTTCTCAAAATCTTCCCACAAAGCCGAGAGGTGAACACTATACCACTCAAGGTATTCGGATGTTCAGCCTATGTCCATATTCCCTCTCATCAACGCAGCAAACATGATCCTAAGTCTCGTAAGTGTTTGTTCCTAGGGTACTCTCCCCATAAAAAAGGGTATAAGTGCTACTGTCCATCCACCAGAAAGACATACATCACTCTGGATGTGACCTTCATGAAAAATGTTCCATTTTATTCCAAAACCGCTATTCAGGGGGAGAAAGTGCAAGAAGAATATCAGTTTTGGGATAGCATGATGCTAGATGAACCAATGAGTGATATCACCCCTTTACATCCCGAGGCTGAGAAGGAACTCCTAGTCTACACCAGGCGGAAGAGGATCCCTAAACCAGTAGAACATACGGAGATTCCTATGCCTTGCCAAGCAGACAACCCGAGTTCAACTCCAAATGAAGTAATACAAGGTAACACTGAATCCGAGCCTTATTCTAATGATTTGTGCGTGCCTGATGATCTTACTAAGCCAATTGCTCAAAGGAAAGGGATTAGATCGTGCACTCAACATCCTATCTCATACTTTGTGTCCTATGAGAAACTGTCTCCGAGTTACAGGGCCTTCACCACCAATCTAGACAGTATTCAGATACCAAGGAACATTCAAGAGGCGCTACTACATCCAGAATGGAAACAAGCTGTTAATGAGGAGTTAAGAGCCTTAAAAAAGAATGGTACTTGGGAGCTTACACACCTTCCTCAGGGCAAACAAGTAGTAGGTTGTAAGTGGGTTTTCACTGTTAAATATAAAGCAGATGGAAGTATTGACAGGTACAAGGCAAGACTTGTGGCAAAGGGCTTCACACAGACTTATGGCATCGCTTATCAGGAAACATTCGCTCCAGTGGCAAAGATGAATACCATTCGAGTACTACTTTCCTTAACTGTCAACCTTGATTGGAACTTGCATCAATTTGATGTTAAAAATGCATTTCTCAATGGTGACTTAGAAGAGAAAGTATATATGAAAATTCCACCTGGGCTCGAACAATCACAAGGCGTCAAACAAGTATGCAGACTTCGAAAATCACTATATGGTCTCAAGCAATCGCCAAGAGCCTGGTTTGACAGGTTTACCAAGGCAGTTAAGGAGCAGAGATATTTACAAGGACAATCAGATCACACGTTATTCATCAATAGAACTTCGGATGATAGGATTACAATCCTTATTGTCTATGTTGATGACATAATTGTTACTAGGAACAATGAGGTAGAAATTGCTCGGCTAAAGGGAATCCTGAGTCGGGAATTTAAAATCAAAGACCTTGGAGCTCTAAGATACTTTCTTGGACTGGAGGTAGCACGGTCTAGCAAAGGAATTTCAGTCTCACAGAAGAGGTATACCCTGGACTTACTAGAAGAAACGTGCATGCTTGGTTGTAAGCCTTCAGACACTCCTATGGATCCTTTCAACAAAATAGGGACTAAAGAAGATTCAGGTCTGGTAGATAAAGCAAGATATCAAAGGTTAGTGGACAAACTAATCTACCTATCTCACACAAGACCAGACATCAGCTTCGCTGTCAGCACGGTTAGTCAATTCATGAATAGTTTGAATGAAGAGCATCAAGAAGCAGTATACATGATTCTAAGGTACTTAAAGATGTCTCCTGACAAAGGTTTATTTTTCAAGAAAGGAACAAACAGGGGCATAGAGATCATGTCAGATGCAGATTGGGCGGGATCTTTGACTGATAAGCGATCAACCTCTGGATTCTGTTCGTTTGTATGGGGAAATCTTGTCAGCTGGAGGAGCAAAAAACAATCAGTATTCGCTCGGAGTAGTGCTGAAGCTGAGTTCAGGGCCCTAGCTCACGGAATTTGCAAAGGAATGGGCTAAGAAGACTCCTAGAAGAACTACAACTCCCAATCAAGACTCCTATGGAACTGTTGTGTGACAATCAGGCATTCATCAGTATTTCAAAGAATCCAGTCCTTCATGATCGCACCAAGCACGTGGAAATAGACCGTCACTTTATCAAAGAAAAGATAGAGGATGGAATTGTGGAAGTTGTCTACACGCCCACACGACAACAAACTGCAGACGTGTTCACCAAAGCCATTGCAAGAACTCATTACGATACTCCACTATCCAAGCTGGGAATGATTGACATACATTCTCCAGCTTAAGGGGGAGTGTGGAAAGTCGTTAGAATAGGATTGTATAGCTGTAGTTTCCTATTTTATAGGGATTTGATTTATTTCCTGATTTCTCTAGATAAGGAGTTACCTAATATAAGGCTGAAATCAAGGGATTTAAAACCGGCTGTGGTTATCCCTAATTGTATATAAATAGTGGCTGTACAGAATTGTTTTATGGAATAAGAAGAATTATTCTTTCTCCTAAAAACCTAATCCAGCTCTAAGAAATCTTCACTCAGAAGTGCGTCTATCATTTTGTATTTGATCCAAATTTTCCTATCCCAGCAATGAGCAAAAGCACAGAAGCATAAGCACATCAACATATAAATTGATATATTTGGTTTAGAAAAGTACAACAATACGATACGCTAAAGTTTTTCTTACAATGACTTCACCAACCGTTCAATTGACAGGTTCACCATTCTTTTTCTTATGTGCCTTTGTCCAAATAACTACTCTATTTAACTTAGAGTTGCCCGAACAACTTGCATTCTACAAGGAGAAATATATTTTCACAACATTGAAAGAAAATGCTTCAAAATTTTGTAAAATAAGAAGGCTAATTATGAATGTACCATGTCTTCGATTAAGTGAGCATATCCTTTACGGCTGGTTGTATGTGGAAGTAGTTTCTTCCTCATGTTTTGATACTTTTGACTTTTTTCCTAGTAAACAAATTTAAGAAATCACCATAATCATAAATGTGAACTAGGTATTAGAATTGCCAACGAGAGAAAACAATTCGTGTTTAAGCCAACTATACCTGAAAAGCTGCACTTGTTTTCTCTCTTACAAAAGCTTTTTACTTTGTAACTGATTTGATGTAATCAGGCTTCAATTTTAGTTTTTCTTCTTCATTTTTTTCTTTCTTAACTTATTTTGAGACTCTAAATTGCACCCATGTTCTTGAATATTTGATGCTTCTACCATTTGGGTTTTTCGACTTTCCTATAGAGTCTGTTGTTATCTCATCCCGTTCTTGTGCACCTTCACTTGTCATCCTCTGACTTTGGTTGTTAACTTCAGGAGAAGCTTCAACTTCTTGCAATCTACGAGACCTCCTAATAGGTGTCTCCTGATGTTTCTGTACACCTTCACTTGTATTCCTCTGAGTTGGATTATTATTTTTAGGATACTCTTCAACTCCTTGCACCCTAAGAGAAATCCAAATGGGTGTCTCCTCAGGTTCTAGTGCACCTGCACTTGTATTCCTCTGAGTTGGATTGTTAATTTCAGGAGAAGCTTCAACTCCTTGCAGTCTAAGAGACCTCCGAATAGGTGTCTCCTCAGGTACTGGTTCACTTGTATGGCTCTGAGTTGGATTGTTATTTTCAAAAAAAGCTTTAACTCCTTGCAGTCGAAGAAACCTCCGAATAGGTGCAGTGGGTGAGGCTATTGGTGACTGTAAAGCTTCATTCCTATCCACTAACTTGCAGAGATTGTTTTCACCCACATTTGAGCCACGCTGTTCAAATTCTGGAGAATCTTCTCTTATAAGCAGTCTTCGAACAACACTTCTAGTATTCCTTGCTGGTGAGTCCACTCTTAATTGGTTGGCTTTTGAATGTGTGCCTACATCAACAGTGCCTACATCAACACCAACATTTTTTCTTTCCTCAAGAATCTTTTTCAATCTTCCAAGTTGGATGTATGTTTCTTCAATTGCGAATGCCTTCTTGCATAACTTCTGCTTCCTATTACTAGACATTCTTATCACTTCCTGCAATAAAATACAAAAGCATAAGCACGACAACAGTTAAATTACTTGTATTAGCACCAACTTGAGATGCCAATAACAAAGGATTAACATAAATCATGAGCCGGGAAGAAAAAGGAAATGAGAAAGCCTGGGAAATAATGCTGAACAGACAGCAGCAAACACAAGTAATGCGGCTGTATGTAGAAAGTAAGCCCGAGATGGATGTGTCCCCTCGTCAAGAAGAGGTCGTCAGAGCATTCTTTTGTATTAACACAATCTTTTTTCCAGAAGACAAGAGATCAGGCACCTATACATATGAAGACGCCTTTTGCTATGCACTGACATACTAATGAATTTGAATTTCATTACTTCCTGCAATAGAATATCTAACATCACAACATAGAATAATCTGTATTGCTATGCACTAACATACACACTTGGACCAATAATATTTTTCATTAAAGACGAAGACAAAGGTATAAGCACATACAAATTTTTTGAATTTTCAACCGCTAAACAGAAATCAAACTAATATTTCTTCACAATCTCCTCTCACATAGAGAATATCATCATTTTCATTGTCCACATTTACTAGATCAGTTATAGGCTTGCAAGGCACCGAAGTGTCTTCATTAGAACACATAATTCCAACCCGTAGAACCCTCTTGGTGGTGCGTTAATCACAACATATCAATCTGAATCATCGTAATCTCTCGAATAAAAAACTTGTTTCGCTTGTGATGCTAAGATGAAAGGATCTTTACTGAATTCATGTTGACCTTGGTGTAAATTAACAAGTTTAAATCCATCCTCATCCTTAATACCTCTATTAAAAGTAGCTCAATCACACTTAAAAAGTGGTAGCTGAAAATCATAATAATCTGTTAAGATTATCTCTCTCAACACCCCATAAAAAGAAACAACATCCATTATTGAGCTATTGATAATGTCATTCCTCTCAACTTTTTTCAACTCTTCATTTGTATTCACTTCTTCTCCATGATGAAACCAAGTAGTGTTTGTTGGATCCATACCATTGATTACCAAGTCACTACTATAATTTGGGCTATTTGCGATGACAATTGTCGTCGCAAATAAATAAATATTTTCGGCAACATGTCGTCACAAATATTTTCGTAAAACTGAAAAATATTGTCGTCCCTAAAAACTCACACGCCGTCGCAAATATTTGCTTGGCGGCAGATGTTGTTTGGTGTGAACTTTTAGCGCCAAAATAACATTATTTACGACATGTCGTTACAAATAAAATTTAATTTATTTATTTTCCCCCGAGCAAAAAGGATTATTCTGGCGAGTGACAATTTTTTTACGACGACATTAATGTGTGTCGTCACCAAAAATGATTTGTATTCCCCCAGTAACATAAAAGGCGGGAAAATTGGCTGATCCCCAAAAATTATTTGCGACGACATTATAGGTGTCGTCACAAATAATAATTCCAGAACCTTCCTTCTAAGCACTAAATAATTTAGTTATATTTGTGACGACATGTGTCGTCACAAACAATGTAATTATCGTCGTAAATAATTTTAAGTTATATTTGCGATGATTAGTCGTCGCAAATATTCTTTTGTTTCGTCGTAAAAAACACTATTATATGCCCACAAGCAGAGTCTCCTCCATTTTTTCCAATCGGCTTCTCTCTCTCTCTTTCTCGGCCTCTCACCGATTTTCTTCAGTTTCCTGACCCCAAACTTTCAAAATCTTCTTGTATTCTCTTCAAATTCAACAATATTACAAGTTTTATTTGGTTTTTCATCCAAAAAATCCCAAAATCTGGCCGTCAAAGTTCGCCGCCACCGCTGCCCTTTGCCCCGGTTTATCTTGCCGTTTTCAGCCCCTATTTCAGTGAGTTTGAATTTTGTAAGTTTTTCCATAATTATTGTATTTTTTTAGTTTAAAATGTATGAGTTTTTTGTTATTGCAATTATGTATAATTATATATTATAAATTTTGAAGTTTGATTTATAGATTTTACAATTAGTATATAATTTGAAATTTGGATTCTGGATTGAATTTTAGATTATGAATTTTGAGATTATTGAAATTTGATATTGAGATTGTTGAAATTTTAAGATTATAATTTGATTTAGGTTGAAATTAAAAGTTTTGATAATTGTTTTGGGTAGCGCATTTTGCAGTTATAGTGTGCCGAAATCTTTTAAAAGCTGTTTTTTGCATGTTTGAATTTTTAGATAATAAAAAAAATGTCGTTATGATGTCAAAATGTTATTAAAACCTATTAATTTTAAGAATTTAATTAATAAGAATTAATTATATTAATAGAAAGATAATTAAAAATTAATTATAACCATTATTAATTTTAACAATAATAAAATAACTTGTTCATAAAAATTGATAAAACTTATAAAATTGAAACATGAAATGTTAAACTTTCTTTATTAATGTGATTATATAGTCACAAGAAAACATGAAGTATGATTAGATGTGTTACTGTTTTTATAGTCAAGATGTCAATTGATAAGAGTTGTATACATCTGAAAAATCGGTTGTCTAATCAGTATTGGGAAGGGTTGTCTGCGTTTATCAACTATGGTTTCAATATTTTATATACGACGTGGTATTACTATGGCGAAGACAATGTTGCGACCAATCCAATAAATGAATCAGTTGACGAGATGGTTGCAGTTATACATGATGTTGTTGGAAATAACTCTGATCATGATATGCCGGACGAAGTGGAAGCTGGGGTGTTAGGTGATGCGCAACAAGATGAATTTAAAAAGTTGTTATCTGAGCTCGAATCGGCATTGTATCCAGGGTGTACTAAGTATTCGTCATTGAATTTTTTGGTGAAACTCATGCATTTAAAGGTGTTGTACAAATGACCCAATGAGTGTATGAATCATGTTTTGAAGCTGTTGAAATAAATTTTATTTTTTACGGCATAGCATCTCAATGTCAACCAGGACGCAGAACATGCATTTATAAGTAAATTTTAAAATTATTTCTTTTTCATATTTAACATAACATATTATACTATTTTTATTCATTTTTATTTCCTTTACCTTTGCAGGCTCAGATGGAGGGGGAAAGGGACCGATATTGCCACGGAGGAATCATTCAAGTGCTTCCACCTTATCATCTGCTTCGTAATCAGATGGGTCATCGTCGATTAATTTGCCCCAACATATCCAAAACTGGCTAAACGTCTATGTCGAGCAATGTAAAGTGTTCGATAACTAACAGATGATAATAGAAGTCATGCCCACGATGAATCCCAACATTAACTTCTTGCGACTTAACCGTCCTGAACTGTGGGTTCGTCCCCCGCTGCCGCTATAGGGAAACGAAAAAGACGAAGATGAGGATAATTTAGGAGATTAAAATATCTATTTTCGTTTTTCTTATTATCAATACTTTTTTGTATGAATTGATTAATTTACTTTTTAAGACTTATTTTATTATTGTGTTGACTTTTTTACATGAATCTTTTATTAGCAAATATCAATTTTATTGATTTATTTTATTATTAAATTTTCTTATAATTTATATATTAATAATTAATATATTAATAATTAATATATTAATAATTAATATTATTAGGACATTAGGGAAAAAAAAGGAAAAAAACTTTTGCGACGACAAATCTGAAAAAAAGTCGTCGCAAATGTCTAAATCACTAGCGACGACATCTAACCCTTTTGCGACGACATATATCATCGCAAATATAACTGAACACGTCATCATCAATGACATGTTCGATAGAACATTCATGACGACCTATTCGTAACGATAGTCATCGCTAATGTATTAGCGACGACATCTCAAAATTTTGTCGTCGTAAATATATTATTTGTGTCTAATTTTTTGCGGCGACTAATTTGTGATGACAGGTCATCACAAATATAATATTATCGACGACAACGTACTCTTTTGCAACGACATTCAATCGTCGCAAATAAACTTTTTTATTGTAGTGAGTGTTCATAAACAATGTTACCACTTTGATGACATAAGTTTCGACATTCTTTGCAAGGGCACAACAACTTCTCCGGGTATCCAAAATTCTTTTCAACAGTTTTTACAAATTTTGAGCGCTTTGCATATACTCCTCAGTAAGTCTATAAATAAAAAGGGCAACACTAAGACTTCTATAACTACAATGACTTGAAAAACTAAACTCTAATCTTACTCACCTGTTAGCACATACCCAATCTTTATCAATCATCATAACATCATCAATCTACTTCAAAATTAACATAATGCTAAATTAATTATCACATTTGTAACTAAGAAATAAACTTTAGTCTAACATAGTTATACTACTAGAGCAAACAAGAAAAGATAAATCACTTAATACATAAATCTTGTTCATCACCCTACCAAAGAATACTCTCATTTTTTTACAAAACACCGGTAAACAAATAATGAATTACTTCTTTAATTTAAACCTCCTTCCATGCTGAAATGGTAAACAAACAACAAGAATCACATAATTGGGGGTGAGGGCCGGGGAGATATAAGATGTTCATGGCAATGTGTGCCTACCCAAGCGTGTGGCATAATTGTCAAATCCAAAAGGCTCATATGTTGTATGACTAACTAAAAAAGACCATAATAAGGCTTACTCACCCCATTATCAATAGCGGTGTAATACCATCTTTTCTTGACAAACATAGAGAGATTTAGGACGTTTCCAATCTAAATTTTTGTTCACACCCGAAAGATACATAAAAATTGTACGAAACAGACTTTTCAGCAATTATTCATTATTTTTCCCTTCTAACTAGTTAATAAATTAATCCAAGCATTATTATTGATATGAAGAATAATATTGATAATATTATCAAGACAAACCTGGTTCTTGTTTTAGGACAGAGAAAAAAACCCAAAGAAACAGAACATACCTGGCTTTGATTGAGGATTGTAGCAAATGAAGTACAAATCTGTCAAAAACGACAAAAGAAAGGAAAAGATTAAAAGTGAACAACGTTTTATGACCACACTACAATAATTTGGGCTATTTGCGACAACACTATTTACGACGACAATTGTCGTCACAAATAAATACATATTTGCAGCGACATGTCGTCGAAAATATTTTCGTAAAAACTGAAAAATAATGTCGTCACTAAAAACTCACACGTCGTCGCAAATATTTGCTTGGCGGCAGATCTTGTCTAGCGCGAACTTTTACTACCAAAATAACATTATTTGTGACGACATGTTATCGTAAATGATTAACTATTTGCGACGACATGTGTCGTCGCAAATAAAATTTAATTTATTTATATTCCCCCGAGTAAAAAGGATTATTTTGGTGGGTGACGAAAGTTTGTTGCGACGACATTAATATGTGTTCTCACAATGAGTGATTTTGTATTCCCTCAATAAAATAAAAGGCAGGAAAATTGGGCAGGTCTCCAAAAATTATTTGCGACGACAATATAGGTGTCGTCGCAAATAATAATTCCAGAACCTTCCTTCTAAACCCTAAATAATTTAGATATATTTGCGACAATATGTGTCGTCACAAATAATGTAAGCGTTGTCACAAATAAGTTTAAATTATATTTGCAACGACTAGTTGTCACAAATATTCTTTTCTGTTGTCACAAAAAACTCTGTTATATGCCCACGAGCAGAGCCTCCTTCTCCATTTTTCCCTATCAACTTCTCTCTCTCTCTCTCTCTCTCTCTCTCGGCCTCTCACCGGTTTTCTCCGATTTTTGACTCTAAACTCTCAAAATCTCCTTGTATTCTCTTCAAAATCATCAATATTATAAGTTTTATTCGTTTTTTCATCCAAAATCTCGCCGTCAAAGTCCGCCACCGTCGAAGTTTGCCACCGCCGCCCTTTGCCCCTATTTATCTTGCCGTTTTCAGCCCCCGTTTTAGTGGGTTTGAATTTTATAAGTTTTTCTATAATTATTGTATTTTTTAGTTTAAAATGTATGAGTTCATGTATGAATTTTTTGTTATTTGAATTATGTATAATTATGGATTATAAATCTTGAAGTTTGATTTATAGATTTCAAAATTATTATATAATTTGAAATTTGGATTATAGATTGAATTTTGAGATTGTTGAAATTTGATATTGAGATTTTTAAAATTTTAAGATTATAATTTGATTTAGGTTGAGATTAAAAGTTTTGATAATTGTTCTGGGTGGCACATCTTGCAGTTATGATGTGCCAAAATATTTTAAAAGTTATTTTTTACAGGTTTGAATTTTTAGATAATAAAAAAAATATATCGTTATGATGCTAAAATTTTATTAAAACTTATTAATTTTTAGAATTTAATTAATAAGAATTAATTATATTAATAGAAAAAAAAATTAAAAATTAATTATACACATTATAAGTACAACAATAAAAAAATAACTTGTTCATAAAATTTAATAAAACTTATAAAAGTGGTTTGACACTCGGACAGAAAGAAAAAAAAATTCAACAATACAAGAATAGAATAAGTATCTTTGTTAATAACTCATAGTATGAGAATGAACATTTTATTATAGCTTTTCAGGTGAAACAAATTTTTTACTTGGATGATTTATTTAACGGTATGAATTGGAAAGTTATTTAACGGCCAAGAGATTTAGGGCTTGTTTAGTTGTATTTTTAAGTTATAGTGACTTGAGTGTAGATTTTAAGTTGAATTTAAGTTATAATTTGAGTTGAAGTTGTAACTTAAATTTATGTTTAGATGTGCACATTTGAGTTATAATTTAAATTGAGAATCTATTTGAATTTATATTTGAGTGAGTCAAAACTTAAATTTGTACTTAGATAGTATTTTAATAAAAACTCAACGGTGATAAAAAATTTTAATAAAGTATACGGGTAGAGTTTTATTCGTCTTTTCGTTGTGAACACATAGAAAAAAAATCATCTAAATCAAAATTTAAGCGAAAAAATTATGACGTTTTTAAAAATAGAAAAAATACTATAATTAACTTGAATTTGAGTTTAAGAATTTGAGTTGAAGGGAAAAATTGAACGCAGATTTTAATCCTAAACTCGAGTTAAAACTCAAGTTCAAACTCAAATTTTACAAATAAACATAAATTTAAATAAAATTGTAACTTGAGTTCAAACTTTTTTTGAGTTTTACTCAAAAGAACGAACCCTAAGGTTTCTTCTGCAACTAAGGAATTTCCAGAAAACCCAATATTCATTACAGATTAGATGCAAAAGCGTACACGCAACAGAAACGAAAAATGATTTACGGCTCAAGAAGCGAAGAAATTCAATCCATACCTGTATCGGGCCGATTTCACCAGAAGAAACCTATGCTTCTTGTACAGAGAAAGGAATTCTTCCAAAAATCTAAACCTTAAAGTTCAAATTCGGGGCTGTTGCGCAATGAGGGAAGAATTCTTCCTTAGGGCTTTGAGTGAAAAAAGAGGGCTTCGAGCGAAAAAGAGGGCTTCGACTGTTGCTTCTAGTTGGATTTTTTCCTTTGGGTAACAAGGGCCATTCGAGTGGGGCTTGTTTCTCTACCCTCAGCGGAAGAAATTTTGGGGATTAAGCGCGCAGAGAAGAAAATTTCTTGCGCGCTGAGAAGAGGGCTTCGAGTGTTGCTTCTACTTTGATTTTTTTCTTTGGGTGACTACAGGGCCATTCGAGTGGGCTTCTTTCTCTTCCCTTAGCGTATGAAACTTTTGGGGATTAAGCGGGCAGATTGAAATTTTCTCTGCCCTTAGCGCGCAAGAAGAGTTTAGGAAGTAGGGGGAAACCATTTTCATTACCGACTCAAAATTTTCAGCAAATTCTAATATATAATATATATATATATTAAAATATATTAGTAAAATACCCATTACCCACCATCAGATTAACCCATATTTCTATTATATATAAATATATATATAACATAACTATTTTCAAACGCTATAAAATATATGCAACATGACGTTTTTTCAGAAACGTTATAATTAAGGGAAACGTTTGATTAAAATATTCAAATCATGATTTGAATTATGATTTATAATTTATTACAGTATTTTTTTCTATAAAAATATACATAAATTAAAAATAATTTTAATCACATAATTCTAATACATGAATCAAACGTCTTATAAGAGTTATCAAAACACTGTGGTGTTGTAGCGACAAGAGATGACGAAAGCGACTGGTTACCAACCGAAATGTACTTGAGAGTGTAAAGTAATAGACGTGAATTAATTATTATCACATCAAAAGATTATAAACGTTTTATCCGTGATTCTCTGTTCAGAGGGTGCTGGATTTAGACTAGCCGCGAAGGACATGAAACCATAGCCACTAACTTTTGCAATAATAAAAAAATGGTGGATAGAATCATACAATAATATTTCTGTCCACTAGATATTGTTTCCTGATCGGAAAATTTAAATTTTGAATTATATTTATATAAAAGTAGTGCTTATAAAGTGCTACATATGTATTTTTTTTTAAACGGATTTAAGTCGCATGGTGATATCATAGACTATTATATGTTGCCTTTTGTTTCAATGCGTAAAGGTGATTCGGTAAGTGCAAATTTTAATTTTATATTTAACAAAAAAGTGTGCATTTTTTTTTTTTAAAGTGTTCAACTTACATACTTAATATATTATTTCATATTGTACCACAATATATAATGCTATTTCATACAACATATCTATTTATTTGTGATAACTATAAAAATTTAAAATCTTTAAAAGTAAATTTTTAACTTTTACGTAATTTGAAAACGACAATATTATAATTATTAAATAAAATTAATTCAACCTATTAATTATCAACCAATAACAACTATATGTCTAATTTACCATTAAAAGTTACTTAACGAGTAGCTATCTACTTAAATGGAAATCGACTCATGCATTTTTTTTATTTGTGTCTCCTTTAATGCTTCTTTAATAATTTTCATGTCATGTCAATTAAAATTTTATATTATGTAATTAAAAAGTCATGATAATTAGCTGAAGTGACATGATTTTATATAAGGTGGGAAAATTGAAATACGAATAAGAGAACATAAATAAAAAGACATGTGAGCTCAATCTCTCAAATGTCACATACACCGCATTAAAACAGACTATAAACAGCAAATATCAATTCTTATTGCAGTATTGAATTAGAAATCAATTCATGACTTCCACCGTGTAGTCTTTCTTTCCATATTCAGACACGTAAGAATGAAGAACAAAGAAGAGGATGGATGAGAACAATAAAGATATGAAGAAGTACAACACTAATTAAAGGGTTGTTTGGTTGGGGGATTCGTACCCCGATTCGAATCATGATTCATGATTTGCTACAGTGTTTCCTCTCACAAAAAAATACACGTAAATTAAAAATAGTTCTAATATCATGATTCTAATTCATGAACTAAACGTCTCCTAACTATTTTTAGAAGGGAAAAAGTAAAACAATTTTTAGTGATGTTTTGTTGTCTTGTCTTCAACTAAGAAAGATAAAGTTATAGAACTAAATAAAGAAATAAAGAAAAATAGAAAAAATAATAATAAAACACCCCATGTTTCCCCACCTCCTTTATAACCTATCTTTAATTGTGAATATCTTATATCTTATCTTATAGATATACAAGAAGAAGGAATAGATTGTTTTGAGGTTTTGCACTTAATTGCTTGGTTGCTTCTTCTTCTTCTTCTTTTTTTTAAGGAAATCATGTATTTAGAATGGATGAAGTTGTTTTTTTACAAATTCTTCGCACTGTGTTTTTTAGCATTGCGGCTCTACTGCATAAGCACCAAGGCTCTCTGGTCCTAAGTTTTTGTACTAAAAAATGACTCCTTTTAGAGCTTAGGCGCTACTTTTTAAGGCTGAGGGGCTCCAATTTCAATTTAGCTCAAAAAACTCTTCCAAAACTTGCCCACGCACTCCAAATTATGCTAACCTAAAAAGCAAATTAAAAATACGTAAAACACTACTAAAATCACTCTAAAATCAACAAACATTCAATTTGAAGTACTGCTTTAAACGGATCCGAATTGTAAACAAGTTAAAATTTTATAGCGAGTGTTTCTGTTCATGGGGCATGTTGGCGACCCGCCCTAATCCGTCCTGTTGTCATCCCTAGGTGTATTTCACATCTATCTTGGTTTCTACACTCCCTCTCTTACACCCTTAAGTTTTTGCCCTTGTTTTCAAAGGAAGACATTGAGTAGATGAATAAAATAGTAATCGAAAAAACCTTTCATTTTCATCTACCAAACAACACAAGAAAAAACTAATCCTTTTCTATCATTCCGATTTTCATCTCTTACATTTTCCTTTTCCATTAATTTTTCTCTAACGGAGTGAAGCCTGTTTAGCAGACATATATAGCGGTAGTGGGTCTTGCACTTTCCCTCGCAGTCTTGCTGATCAGCTTGTTATTACCGCGACACTTCTTGGTCCTTTCGATTAGGCCGGTTGCATTGAAAACAAAAACAATATTACCAAAAAGTGGGGGAAGAGAAAAGAAAGGAAAAAAAAGAATGCTACAATATTTGACTTCAACTTTATCTTCAAATTAAATTGAACATATTATACAAAATAAAACAAATTTATTTAAGAGGAACCTGAGTTGAAAATTAGAATTTTGAATTAATTAATAGTGCAACATAAAAAGGAGATCTCTATTATAAGATCTAAAATGAATTTTTTGCTAAGTATGTTAGCTCTGTATTAGAAACCTTTTCTTCTGCATACTTTGATTTTAACTAAATCATACGGTAAAAAATGTATACTACCATCAAGACTCATATTAAAAAAGTACTAATTCTAACACCCTTCTACACTGCTGTTTAAGTCAGTAAATTAATTATTTAGTTACGCACAAATATGTATGTGTGTGTGTGTGTGTGTGTGTTATTGTATTAATAAGATTCTTTTTCAACGCGTCACCTTTTCTATGAATTATTATATTACTTGCATGTTGCATTCCACTTGTGTTTATAAATACACCTCGCATTCCTTTCAAAAAAATAAATACACCTCGCACTTATTGGCTCCTCGACCACTAAACAAAATCACCAAAACCATGAGCCCCTCGCAGATTTTCTCCAATATTATTTTTGCTCGCTTGTCGCATCAAAATTTCTTCGGCTTTATCAAGCTTATCACCATCCTTCTTCCTTCAACAATGTGGACCTACTTAACTCTATTCATAACCCGTATCAAATGCGCATCTGATGTCCTCCTTTACCACCAGTTCTCTTTCTCTACGCGTCGCCTTCATAACATTCTTGAAACCGGCCCTGAAGGGCTCATCCAAATAACCCGGTTCAAGCACGACAAGGAGGAATTCCGCGTTAATGTCTGCGCCCTGTGCCTCGGCGAAGTTGAAGAAGGAGAAGAGATCAGAGAGCTGAGATGTTCTCACGTTTTTCACCAGCTTTGTTTAGAAAGATGGATTCGATTTAAACACACGATCATGTCCCCTTTGTCGTGGCTCTCTAGCTCCGCCGCTAAGCGCGGTCGCCGGAGAGGAAGCGGGTTTCGGAGTTGAAGTTGTGTTCTTCAAGTTTTGCTCTTTTGGTTCTAATATTGATGACGTACGTGATACTTGGTGGGTGCGTTAATTAGTAAGTGTTAGAGTCGTGTATGTAATTAGTGTTAGCCGAAATAGGATAATACAAAGAAGATGAAAATTATAGGGAAATGAAAAACTGAAATTGTACAATGCAAATTCAACCTTTCTATCAAATTTGGAATTGTATGAATGTCGAGGCACGTGAATAACGTTTTTCTTAAAACAGATTCGTCCCTTCCAGTGAGTGCTTGAGACAACGTTGGACGTCCGTCTCCCAGGATACAACAACAACGACGGTAACTCGATGCACTATCGGAACCGTCCGGCAAACTAGAACTCGGACCTTTCCTCTATCACCAAACCGAACTACAAGGAACACAAAAGAAACTGGAAAAGAAGGAAGAACTCGAGGAAGAAGAGCTAATAGCGTTTCTGTGGTGAGCTCCTTCTTCATGTGGAAGACGCCTTTTATAGGCTCTGGAAAATAGGTTATGAGACCAGGAAATCAAAGGTCTTAATCACCAATTTAATTGTGCAAAAACGTTTCCTGAACTAGGCCACAATTCACATCTAGGATCATGGAAAAAGAGCTGATAGCGTTTCTGTGGTGTGCTCCTTCTTCATGTGGAAGACGCCTTTTATAGGCTCTGGAAAATAGGTTATGAGACCAGGAAATCAAAGGTCTTAATCACCAATTTAATTGTGCAAAAACGTTTCCTGAACTAGGCCACAATTCATAGGTTCATGGAAAAACTGGTTCAATAACCAGCCATTAACAACACAATTAAACTCGGCATTAAGCTCCAAACGGTTTTGCCTGAATCTGGAAAGTCTTGGCCGAGTAAAAAATAAAAATTACAAAAGTAAGCTCGCACGGAGCGGGTTTTCCGGTCCGACATTCGTGTCCGCAGACGCACACATTGGCCCCCAACCCACCGGGATCGTGATTCGCACCCCCTACGCGTGAGAGAGCATCTCTGGTATACATATTTTCCAAGGCTTCAAAGTGCAATCACTTATAAACACCGCATTGGCTTCACTCCTAGCCAATGTGGGATTTTTTCAATTTTTCTTCTACATTTACCATTCCAAGTACCACACTTAGACCATCAATTTCTCATTCACCCAAAAACCATTTTGAGTGTTTGAATACTTGATTTCGATCTCCTCACAACGGAGAACACAAATCCATCGAGACCCATCCCAAAAACTTATTGGGCCCCATCCGAATATGGGCCTCA